CCCAGGTGCTGTGCCGGTGCTTGTTCCGGCATATTCACATCACCTGCTACAAACCCCAAGCTCTTCTAAGACAGCGGCTTCGGCATCTTCCTCCACCCACCAACTGAAGAAGCAGCAAGGTGCGCGTACCCAGAACCCACCAACGCCTCTGGATTCTCTTTTGAGTGCAGCAAGGTCAATGATGGATAATGAGGAAGATGAGGAAGAGACTGTCATTGGCACGAGGCGTTCACGATCAAGCGATATACCTGACAGTCCTGTACCGAAACGCAGGAAAATCGTCGCTCGGGACAAGGTCAGTGCGCTCAGAGAACAAACAAGAGATCAAGGTGCAGGACAACCAAGCAATAGCTTAGCTGCCTCCAGTTCAACTGCTGTTGGCAGGGTTAGATCGGGACTGGATGTTCTAGCTGATCAAGCTGCCGCATTCTCTTCGCAAGATCAACAGAGTCAATTGGAACCTCACTCACTGCCTAAGGGTAAAGGAAAGGAGAAGGCTTCCACGATTGCTGATAAATCCCCCGACAATCAGCTGAGAGAAAAAAGCAGGTCAAAGAGAAAGCAGTCCGTATCTGACGTTGCGCCTCAGCCCCCTCGGTCCCGTCATCCCTCACCTTTACCCCGAGCAAATGCAGTTGACTGGGGTTCTGGACCGCCAAATCTACGTCCAGTTCAGTGGACCGAGGGACCTATACAAGTTTCGTCAGAGGACCACGGTTCTACCCGTGAGATCGCAGCCGCCTCTCAGCCTATAACAATACCCCCTACTCCTCCTCCACGACCTGACTTGGCTGATCAAGCGATACATGATACTCCCAGCAGCGCGGCTACGCCACCGCGTATTCCTCTCGCTGAGCCCACTCCCGATCCCAGCGTGGATACGCCCCCCAGTCAGTCCGTACTCCTTGATCCATTTCTCGTACCTTCTTCTCCTCAGAATGAAAGCTCCACCGGTGTGGCCTCGTCATCTGCACTACACCAACGGGCAGTCACGGCCCCGATTAGTAGCTGGGGAGATGCCCCGTTTGATCTGCAAGCTCATCTGCGACACGAGACCGCTCCTGGAAATACTAACGCAGGGAGCGCTGATTCGGTTGCTGATAACATCGGACCGAGTTCTGGTCCCGCAACTGGAATTGAATCTTTAGCAATCACGAAGAACAAAGAGGTCACTAGGGTTGTGGGCCAAGATGTCCCAAAGAGGCAGCGAAGTCCTTACGTCAAGTGGAGCAAGGAGGAGGATGATCTACTTGCTCAGGTCAGTGTTCTGTGATTATACAGCAGCCAGATCATTGACACGTTTTGATAGGCTGTTGCCAAATACGGACAGAAATGGGACTTGGTTCAGAAAGCGTTGCCATCGAGGGGATATCACCAAGTTCGGCAACGATGGCTTCGCAAGCTAGGTACGCTGCAAAATATTCATTACTTGCTCCCGAAGCTTATCCGGCTCTAGGGGTCTTCGACAGCAAGCCAGACTTGTCTTCATTCCAAACTGGTAGCTTCCCATCTGCCTCGCGTTTAGGAGAAACGCCAGGATCACCTGTTACAGCTGAACCTCCTCCAAATCCGAAGCTAGGACTTGCTCCTTTGAGCAGTGAACTTGCTTTTTCGTCGTTTTTATCTGGAAGAGCGGAAAGTCGATCGTTGTAGCAAAATTATAGTTGCTTTGGTAATTGCTGACACTATTGTACCTTACTGTTCATTACTAGTGGCACCCGCCGGTCATAGTGTAATTGGTAATTGTTGTGCGGGTATTATGTAGCAGTTGCTTGATTTTTATCGGAATGTAATGAAGAACGCGACATTTGGGTGACTGCGAGTTGTGCTACTGGCCGCGGCTAATTCTGGGCATCGTGGAGAGAAGGGCAAGGTCATTTCTTGGTGGCAAGCTGCGAGCAGAAGTGATTCCAAACTTTTTACTAGAGTCCGCATGGATTTTCTTGTTTCACCTCCCAGTATAGTATCCACTCTGTAGTACTGCGTAATCATATCGATCGATGGCACATATGAGTGCTGGCGAAGTACGATAAACAGCAAATTCCTCCGATCCTACATTAGTACGCTAACAATCAAGTTCTTGAGCTTCATAATGAAGACACGAAATAACGAGTCCAGGTCCGAGTCCATATGATGAAAATCACTCTCCGGTGTCCACCGTTTACACGATGTTCACCGTCGCGTTGCGAAATTCGAGGAATGGGTACCAATCCGCCTACAAAATCAGCCTCAGACGACGAATGAAGATAAACACTGAATATCTCGTACCCCAATGAGGCAAAAGTGCGTGAGCGTAAAGATAGCAGGACCCTTTGCAAGGTAAGATGGTATGGTCACGGTGAAGTTCTGGTAGTAACCATCAGGAGGCCCATGGGCCTGCATAAAGATAAGATCCTAAACCGTCTGCAGGGTCGGGGCATGAACCGTTCTCGCAGTTAGCGATTCCTAAGGCAATGCCAACCTGAACGGTAGATTCCTAGGATCGAAGTTGTCAGAGTGACGCATGATGCTGAGAAGCGAACCAACTACCAACCGGTTGAATAACCTGAGCGGTCACTTCCTGACCGGGGTAGAAGTTGTCCCCATTCTGAGGGAACCCTAACTCGATCGTCTAAGCCAAGGTGGCGGATGTCCCTGCAGCAAAGACAGCTATGCACTTGAAGAGCATGTTAACGAGAAGTTGACTGTGAGGGTTTTCAAAGGCGGTTTCTATGTCTTGCTTGTATGGCGGGTAACTTTATACCCAAGGTGGCATTATCTACAGCAGAATTGAGTTTCAAATGATGGATATACTGCGTCACGCATTGAATCATCGGACGGCTTGAGGAAGAACAATAACTGGCAGAGTGAGCGTAAATGTTTGATCTACGTGCGTGGGGACCTAGGTTGGTCAGGGTCCGAGCCTGTTGCGGTAGAATTCAGTTCCGTATGACTGAATTTGTGATAAGCTCACCTACTAGAATGTACAAAGTAGTCGGATGTATCGGACCTGCCTTGGCCTGAAATCCAGAGGGTCAACGCCAAGGATGTTGAGTGAGGCCATTTGGGCCTGTCAGAAGTTCTAGTTATAAGTGAACGGAAAACAAATTCAGCCATGTGAGATTGAATTCTACCTGAACAGCCTCGGGTCCTGACTAACCTAGGTACCCGCGCCCTCTGATGCTAATTCTAAAGTAGTCTCTCGGAAGGTTGATACATCATACGAAGCACTTGAATCGCCCTACACCATTCAAGTACTGTCGTGTCGTGGTCAGAACAGACTCGGAAAAAACTGGCCGCCAAGTGTTTCCAAACTGGGAAGCCCCTGGGCGCCAGAGGCCGGGTTCAACGCCCATCACCAGTACCCAAAGCTCGCCTTCCAAGTAATTAAAAGAAAGAGGGAGAATCCAATTCCCGTCACTGCCGCAGCAGAATATTAATGACGAAGTGGGCTGCAGGAAGAGATGCAAAGACAACCAAGTAAGTTATGCCAAACACAGCCATCAATGAGCATGTATATATAGGGTCCTGAGCGTAAGTACTCAAGCATTTCATGTGGATCGACGACCGTAGATATTACTGTAGTGGTGTTTGACTCAAACTTTAAAGGCAGACTGAGTACAGCCTACTAGCTCATACCTTTTCGAATTCGCCCCACGACGTACTTTGTACGAGTTCAGCAAGACCGGCTTGTGGTTAGCATGCATCATAATTTGCATGTATTCGTGTACAGTATGTCATAATGATAATACATAGTAAGGGTGAAGCTGCAACGATTCAAAATACCTAGAAAGAAAACAAATAATGTAAAATATACATCATCCAATGACTCGCCCGGAGCCTAGGTACCGTTGCCCAGACGTATCAGGTTGTTTTTGGAATTTTCAATTTTAGTGTGAGATACTTTTACGCTGTTTTACCGTCATGTGACGTCCGGATTCGGCCAGATTTCTGGAACCCTTCTGCTTTTGGGGGCGGGCAAGTCTTTGTGTGCCGCTTTGCATTCTTTCTCATTGCCGGCCAATGCAATCTACGTTTCGAGTTCCTTTCGACGAACGATTTGCCAAACAAATCAAATTATCTTGTCGAGTCCCGCCAGCTGCGTGTGAATCCATGACAAACAAACAAATCTATGAGGAGGACAGTGCTAGTGCTAAGAGACAGAACTTTGAAGCTAGTTTGTGTGCATGTGTGTGTGGGGGGGTGGTGAAATGTCTGTGAGTCTTAAATGGTTGTGCTACGGATCAGTGTGTGTGTGTGTGTGTGGATGGATGAGGCTTCCTCTATCAACTCAGGAAGACTGAATGCAGGTTGTGATTGTTAGTGCTGCCATGGTCTGGTTCGGTCTGGTTCACAGAGGGTCGAGCAAGAACCAAGAACTGGACCTAGGTTTGGTTCTACCAGACTTGATGAACCTCGAACTGGACCTTGGTGAATGGTTCAGAATGGTCAGGTCTGTTGAAAGATTATAGATAAGTGATAACTTTGATTCGGACAACAACAAACAACACTCGCTTACATAATACGCTATGCGCTCATTAGAAGTTTTATATTACTTAGCACCTCAGTCTTCGACTATTGAGACTGAGGTATGATATTATTTATTTAGACTCTTTACTACGATACTGACTACTACTCTAGTACTTACTACTTTCGTTTATAGGTCAGCTAGTAGTCTCCAAGTCTTCGACTATTGAGACTGAGTACTTACTACTTTCGTTTATAGAATTCTTTCTGTCATTCTTTCGTCCGTCGCATCCTCGAACAAAAAGGTCCAGTCATTTTCAGGTTCGAACATGAACTGAACCAAATTTATTTACAATGAGCAAAAAAAAACATAGGTAGGACTTGTTGTGGTGCCACGGTCAATGGTCTCAATATCAAGAAGTAGGAGGGCATGAAAGATGGGGTGTGGCATGAGAGAACAGGTGGGAGAGAGTTAGCACAAGAGAACGGGCACAAGAGGACAGGTATGAGAGAGCAAGCATGAGAAAATGGGCACAAGATAATTGAAGATGAAGTCACTCACCTAACACCTCAAACTCAGTGGTTTTGGTTGCCTTTGTCTTTGTCGGCGCATTGATTTTAGGGGTGGAGGCAGTGATTTCGTGGGAGTGGGATGATGGGCTTGCAGGAGGAGTTGCACAATGAGATGTGTGGTCTGATTCGTCTGTTTGAACAGTGCATATCATGACTTACCTTGTCAATGGGCCTCTGCATTTGATAGAAACAAGTAAATCTTGAAGCTTGAGAATCCCTGAGGCTGAAGTGGATCATCAAAGGAAGTGTCAAAGCACGCTTCAACAATGTGGCAAGCTTCTTTTGGTTCGCAGTTCGGAACAGTTCGGGACCAGTCCGAACCAAAGTTGAACTGTTCGCCCAATGCCAGAACCAAGAACCATATTATGGTCCAGTTCTGGCTGACACCTGGACCGTGGACCAAACCACAGGAGAACCAGACCAAAAAGTCCGGTTCGAACCATGGTTCAGGACTGGACCACAGCAGCACTAGTTATTGTCAGTGTGAGGCAGATGCTACAGGAAAGATGCATACTAGTAGTGTGGACAGAGGATAACTTGACAAGCACCACAAATTTGGTGAGAAGTGAATACAGCACTATAGAGCCTGTACACATGTAGGCAGACACTCATATGTTGATCATTAACTAAAATCCAAAGTTGTTTAGAATTTGTTACAGTGTCACAGGCCTGTCACAACCATACACACATCAATTTCACCTGGCCCAAGAGCTGACACACTTAAACACCTATCTCTACTTGTAGGTTTCTTAGATGGGGTCACACGGCTGAGATGAGAGCTAGAACAAATATGTAATCTCAGTATCTGGGAGGAAGAATCCAGGTGCTATAAGTACCTAGAACAAATATGTACTAAGTCTTTGTTAGTAGCTGGTATGTTATATGAAGGTAATAGCACTTACATCTCAGTATCCGGGAGGAAGACTGAGATGCCTAATTCTATGAGAGACTGTTTTTATGTGCGGGTAGAGCAGGAATGAATGCAAATTAATCTGAGACCTTTTGACATGATGTTCGGCCAATGATGAGCAAATGTCTGAGAAACGATGTGCTTGCACCTAATCTGACGTGTCCGACGTGCCTCTCAACACTACTCTCGTGCTGTCTGTCTCACTTTATGATCATCCTTTGGAGCTGAAAAACATGCTGTCGAAGGCCTGTTTGCAGTACAGTACAGCAGGAAAGACTTACAACAGTCTTTATCTTGGTTTCACCCGCTAGGATTTGTTGAATGGCTTGTTGTTGTCCAAATCGTCCAAGTTGAAGAAGACCGAGAGAGCTGATGGCGAGGCATGAGATGTCAAATAGAGAGTGCAAGCACAAGGGGAGAAAGGGCAGGCACAAGGGAGAGCTGACATCAGGCCTGAAGCTGCACATGTATCAAGTTTCATTCTAATATGTATAAAGTCTAGCACCCGTGCAGACGAGCATCTCAGTTCTGTTTCCAGAGACTGAGACGTGAGTACCTATACCATACCTTATCGTAAACATATGCTGACACAACGTAGTCTTACCTATCAGGTACACGTTTCATTAATAAAGAGTTCTGTTTCCAGAGACTGAGACTCTTACCTATCAGACTCCTTGTGACCCTCTCGCTTGTTATAAATGCCTTTATGGCATGTATAATATCTGTCCTCGAAGTTCTTGTCTTCACTATTATTGACCTGCATCCTTGGAACGACAGATGACTTAATAGTAGATCTAAACTAATGTTTGGTTAGAAAGAATGCAAAGTGGCATGCAAAGACTTGCCCGCCCAAAAGCAGAAGGGTTCCAGAAATCCGGCCGAATCCGGACGTCACGTGACGGTAAAACGGCGTAAAAGTATCTCACACTAAAATTGAAAATTCCAAAAACAACCTGATACGTCTGGGCAACGGTACTAGGTGAAGTTGTAAGTTTCATCAAGATGGTTGATACAATATTCAAGCAACTCTTCCGATGTCATATTGTCCATTGGGTGAACACCACTCTTCTCCGGGCTGTCGGTAGACTCTTCCAACTGCTCGTCCGAAGTCGAATCAACAGTTCCATAAAGATCGTCGTCAAGCGAGCCCGAAGCCGAATCGATTGTTTCTTCAGGATTGTTGACCGACTCTTCAATCTGCTCGCCAGAAACTGGTTCGCAAGCTGCTTCGATGTCGAAAAAATCGTTGAATCCCTCGTCCCAACCCGAATCCGTAGTCTCGTCAAGACCGTTGTCGGACTTTTCCAATGACTCGCTCGAAGTCAAATCAGCAGTTTCTTCAAAACCGTTAGAAAAAGATCCAATCGGCTCGTTTGAGGTCGAACCTTCGCAAGTTTTTTGAAGTATACCGTAAGTCTCTTGCTGGTTGTTGGAACAAGAGTTCGAAAAGTCCCCGTCATTTTCACTAGCAAAAAATCATATATCAGCTCCAAAGTCACATTTCAAGGCCTCGTAGTACTTACGCCTCGTAGTACTCTAGGGATGGGGACCGAGACCTGACCTGCGGGTGCCTCTTCCATTTGGTATGGTCTTCTATGCCAGCGCGTGGCACTGCAGGCACGTTTTCGCACTGCGACAGGCAGCACTTGTAACGGACCTCACCGTTATTTTCGACCAGTTCCTGATGAAAAAATAGTCAGCATGATAGTTAGAACCAAATACAAAATGGACCCACGAAATCGAGGTAGTCAACAAGGGGGTGAACCGTTTGCTTTTTTCGTGGGGGAGCATCATTGTCATCCAAGTCCACTGCCTTGCGCTTTCCGCGCTTGACAGCGCTCTCCTCAGCGTCAGCTACTTGTGCTTGTTCCTCCGGTCCTTGCTCCGAATGCGTGTGGTGGAAAGGTTGTGCCGAGGGGGGTGCGGAAGGATGTTGAGGCGGCGCAGCCGCTGGCGGTACACCCATACCCTGGAAGGCGGGGGGATACCCACCCAAATGGTATGGAGGAGGGGGAGGGGGAGGGACTGGGTTTGTCGGTCCGGGGAGTTGGCCAGTTGCATGTAGATATTGTTGATAACAATATACGTAGACCTCCGGGGGGTAAGGCCTGAACCGCGAGGGCACAAGTGGAGGCTGGGGCATCATTAGGGGGTAAGGATGTTGAGGTGGGCCTTGGACTGGCACTTGACCCGTTTGAATCGGCTCCTGGTCCTGGTACATATTTAATTATCTAGTATAGTTGAGATGAAGTGTGTATGGCGCGAGGCTCCAGCCTGTGGCAGGACGAGGTGAGTGACAGAAGGCGAAGTAAGTATACAAGAGTAACTCACAGTACACAAGTTAGATGGTAGATGCGGGAAGGTAAAATGCGATGGATGTTGAACAGGAGGAAAGAGACGCGAGTTGCAGTATTTAAACTGTTGAAGCAACCACTACTAGCGGATAAATCCGTTGCGCTTAGTCTTAACGCGTTCCTTGCTTTGTGGTGTTGTGGCCAACAAATTGTTACCCCAGGCCAAGCAATGCATCCACTGACCTTGATTCCGTCAGCAGACAATAGTGTAACACGCAGGCCACCCGGATATTCCCCGACGCGAATGTGGATGTGTTCAAATGGGTATTTATTCACAATTATTGAGCACGACGCGTTGGATCTTATCGAATCCAGGGTATTATTCCTTTGGCTGGGTATGTTCTTCGTGTATATGTTCTCCACACGTTACCGATAGACTTAATATTACCATCCGAAATTGCATATTCGAGATCTATCAACAAAATACATTAAATATGAACACATTAGACAGGAAGTCGCAATTATTGATACTAACGATGTAGGTATATGGCCAACCACCAATAGAAGGCTGCGTCTTCGGGTTGTCGGGCACAAGGCACCAGGACATTCGATGCGAATTCCACACCTCAGCGACCCATGCAACCACTTACTCACTCCTCTCACAAGAAGGTGGGCCATTGTGCTCTTTGGTAAGCACCTCACGTTACAGTCCGGCGTATGCTCTCCACATCCACAGGCGATCTGCGTCCGGAGAACATGTCAGATCACGTCAAGGGACTATGTGAGCGAAAGTCACAGACGTACCGTCAAGTCAAGCGAATAGCTGTCTGATGAATCGCCTCGCGGATGTAGTAATGTCCTGTGAGGCCACCGAGCACCTGCGGGGATTGTGGTGAGTGCTGGTTATTGACTTCACATTTGATTTCACTTGGAATAGATTGACGTAGGAAGACATCGTGTACTCGTCGTGGACTTGGACATTCCTACAACGGATCGAAGTGTTCGTAGTTCCAAGTCCCAATGAAACGGGAAAGACGATGTATAAAAAATCTGCGCAAGCCAATGGGATTTTTCCGCATGTAGTGAGTGTCCGCAGTATCAGGTATCTGACTCAGGATACGTGGTGAATAATCGTGACCTTCAAAAACACATATCCATCAGAAGGTATTTTCGGCGCGCACTACGTTATCGAAAGCGTGCAAACATACAACTGACTCCATCCTACCCAATGTAACACTGACTATCAAGAATCAAAATTAAAATGCTTACTGTGCTCCCGCGTTAGGTGCAACACTTGGGCCGAGCGCGTCGACATCAAAGCTTAAGTGATTACGACGACCAACGCAGTCGAGTCCCATCTTGACCACCTTGCAGATCCCTACCGTCACCGAGTCAAAACCTGCGCCCGTCCCCATAAAAAACTCGACGCACCAATCAACCTCGGAGACATTACAAGGTTCGCTTCCGAGGATATAGCCTTGTCCACGTCCTGCAACTCGATGAAGATAAAAACCAGTTTAAAATTCGCAAGGACAGAGGCTGGAGATGGATGGAGCACGATGGATCAAAGTTGAGGGCAAATTCAAGTGCGTTCTGTTTATATCTCCTCTGAGTGGACTGAACTATGTTTATATATTAGCATGGGCGTCTATCAGACGATTATTCTCTATAGTCAAATATCAGTTCTGTGGAAGGAGTATTGTTTAAACGGAGGAATTTACCTCACGGTGACTGAGACAGTGCTGAACCAGGTGCGTTTAGCGACTCGTGAAGTCCTTGTTCATGGAGGCGAGATGCAATATTTCTTCAGTAGACTGACTTACAAGGGATGCATGTCATTCCATCTACTGGACTACCACGTGCGGGTCGTTGAGATCACACCTTGGGACCGCTAACACTTTTCGAACACTCCATGTAAAATTTGTAGTGGAGACGGACGAGTTGTTTTCAAAGTGATTTGTGCAGTGAGGGTGAGTCGCAGTTCCGAGTCAAATGGAGCGTCCTTCTACACTTTGTCTCTTCAAACTCCGACAAATACTCTCATTGACCCGTGCGCGTACCGTCATCAGAAACACTGACAAGACCTCCTGTATTCACATGACAATGAGAGCTTGCTCTTGTTCATTGCGTGGTGTCTATGAGGGAAGGCACGCAGTGAGTCACTTTATTTCGTACTTTAAGTTTTGAAAACGGATTTAATATTATCCTACAATGTATTGCTTGCGAAGCGTAACACCGAGCCTTTCTGCAGATAAGAACTGCGTACCTGGAGTGAGACGAGGGGAAAGTAAACTCTCTCACGCTCGCAACCACGTTCTTTCATTGACAGTGCAAGTATCAAGGAGCCTGTCAGATTTCCATTTCGACGTCATCGTCCACGACGACACTGCCCCTTTTCCAAGAATCAATTAACATCCCTGGTCCACTCGATTTATCGCAATGGTATCACCCCTATCATTTTTACTTTGGGTCAGTAGTTTAGCCTCTCGCATCACGAATTGCTCATATTCTGCTTTACCTAATTAGAAGCGAGTATACGTGGACCAGCGCGCAGAACTTCTGGGATGTCAGTCTCAGTTTAGAAAGGTTTATGCATACGCCGATATACTGCGTTCAATTGACTTTGCCAGAAAGGAATGTAAATGCTGGTTCATTTACCACAGCAAAACAATTACAGGACAAACGTTACTTATTCTAGAAGCTCTTACTATAGAATAGCAAAGAACCATCATAATACATAGCTTACTGAGGATAAGATGTCGGAGGTGTCTCATTCATGTATCAAAATATTGAGAAACGTGAGATCTTAAGTCACAAAAAAACATGTGTATCGAGATTCGATATCCACGTACATAGTGCCAGTTAAAAACAAGAAAACGCAGGAATGAATTGTCAACAGCACAGCGCTAGAAGCAAGAACATGGCTGACCACTTCCATGTTCACCGGTGGTAGGCTGTATAGCTGCGAGTGAATCAGGGTTCGGTTAGGCAGTGTCAAGATATTCATTGTGTATTATATCCTTGTCTTTATTGGGAGCACCCGCTGCAGCGTTGCGCTGTAAATCTGTGCATTAGACTGTGAATAAAATGGGAAAAATGAACTCGACATGCCTGAGTTCCCGAGATGGGGCGGGGTAGGGGCAACTTGGTAGAAAACTGCAGCACAGATGTGA